CAAATGAGGACATTTTGGGTAATTTACAGACAATCAGTACAAGGTGACAACATTAGTGTGTTGAAACTGAACTTATTTTAGGGTTTTCACAGTTCTATCTTGCCATTTCTTTGACAATATTCTTGAACATGAAATCCAAGGCAGTGATTGGTCCATGCTGGGGGTTTCTCTAACGACGTCGTGCAGGATCAGCTTTGCGGCACAGCCAGGTGTCGCAAATCAGCTCTGACACAAGAATTACTCCTACACTTTGCTAAAAGTGAGACTGAGACGCTTGATAACTGATTTTTACTCTCAGCTTTTAACAAAGATATTTTTTGCACTGAAGTCCACTCTTAGCAGCACTCTTAAGAGTAATTCTAAGAAGTTTGATAAATATGGGCCCAGATCTTTTAAGGTGGGGTTCTGTGCAAAGGGTCTTAACAATTAATGTTGTTAAAAGCTTTTTGAACAACCTCAGCTTGGAGATAAAAAAGTTTAACTGGTTTACACAAGTTCTTCGCTTGAGTCACAGAGGCTCAGTCTTGTCATTTAGGGCTTTTTCAAAAGACGCTCCATAACATTACTGATGTGTTCTGATCACTTCAGTCTATTCAGAAGACAAACAGAACCAAAGAGGTGGTCTGAAACACCCCGCTTCTGTAGCGCTTCTGTACCCCCAAACAAGGTAGTAACACACAGAGTGTAGATTTCTGAAAAAATTGCTTAAAAAACATCTGAACTACTCCTTTAAATCTATGCTCTTAACTCTATTATGTACATAAAAAAACTTTTTATACAATGAAAATGGAAAGCTAATGTTTTGTGATTTCAAAATATGGAAAAACAGGTTTTTTTTATAAATAGTGATAAAAGTCACAACTGGAATTGATTTTACTGCATTAATCTGAAATTTGATTAAAACTTTGATCTTCTTAGTTTTTACCTTTACTTTATAAATGGTCTATTGCAGGCTATTCAACTAAATTGCTCTGGGGGCCACAGTTACTGCAGGTCAACAGCTGAGGGGCTGAACATCCAGCAATTAAAGTTATTGTGTAAATAATCCAAGTATAACAAAGAACTGTTATCTTTGAATTAGTTTATTTTGCTGCATTTAATCATGAATACAACATACAGAACCCTATAAAAGTAGTCATAATTAAACATTATCAAAAAAAGAACACAGTCTGCCTCCTATTTGACACAAATAATATTTTGACATCTCTTACTTGCCAAATTTTTAAACCAATTTTATTTTCACTTTCATCATTTTATTTCCAACTACTTGTAGTTTTAACTGTCATGAGTGTTTATAGAAATGGTTTTACTAGCTTGTAGCCAAGATTCCGACGTTTCTGTAGATACCAAACATGTGTATTTTTAACTAAAAGGACTTAGAGTAATTAAAATAGAAAACAGGGGGTTTGGGCTTAAGACATGCATGAACCAATTGGCGGGCCGGACTTTGGTCCCTCACGGGCCAGATGTGGCCTGTGGGCTGCCAATTGAATATCCCTGGTCTATTGTTAACACTAAAACTCCCAGGAATTTTGACCACCCCCCTTAAGTCCCGAAAGAGGGTCAAAAGACCCTTAGTCCAAACCGACGATTCTGATGGCTCCAATTAGTTTTCTTTCATTTGTAAATGTGCCTATTGCCTTAGGAATCAGCAGGGGACAAACATCCTCATTCTGCTTAGCAATATGAGACATACAAACATCTTTCTTTGTTGTAAAAACAAAATGTTTAGACATCGTTGTCGACACGATGATGTCATCGTCGACATCGTCGTCGACATCGTCGTCAACGTAGGTGCAGAGTTTTGGGCCAAAGGGGGGATATGTAAGGGTACAGTTTTGCCGCCCGATGATATTCTCAAACTGTTTCTCAAGCGTTCCTGTTTAAAAGTTTTTGCTCTGAAGATATGGTGTGTTGCAAAGAACATAAGTGGATGCCACTGTATTTTCAGAGCTACAGTGAAAAATTGTAAATATAGTATCTGATTCAAGTATTATGTGTTTAGTAAGGTTTTGTCTTTTTGTTTTCAGTGAATATATCAAATCAGTCAGAATTGACTAGGAGCACAAAAGTTATTTTGTGGGACAGTTTAGAAAATTTACAAATACCACACATTTACACCTGTGAAACACATTTACACCTGTGGCAGAAAGTCATTTACAGCTACTTGAATAGCTGTAGTCCTAAATGTAGAAACACTGACAGGAGTGGATCATTATTTTTTACCCTTCGATTGTGTTTGGAGCAAAGAAAAACACAATGGCACCAAAGAAGACCTACACTGCTTTGCAAGTTTTGGCATTACTGACTGCTATGGATGACTGGGAGTCCGATGGAGGAGAGGAACTAGCTTTTGATGAAATAGATGATTCAGACACTGATTTGAACTTAGAACTTTCTACAGATGAAGCTAAATGGTAAATGGACTGAACTTATAGAGCGCTTTTCAAGTCCCTCCAGACCCCAAAGCGCTTTACGCTAACAGACATTCACCCATTCACAGTCACACACTGATGATGGCAAACTGCACTGTAGCCACAGCTACTTTGTAAATATTGTAAATAAAACTTGCTGCTAATTCCTGTTTGTGTATCTTGACTCCCTCAGCCATGTCTGCAGGCCAAAAACTCTGCACCTACATATCCCCCTCGGCCCAAACTCTGCAGACATGGCTGAGGGAATCAAGACACATAAACAGGACTTGGCAGCAAGTTTTATTTACAATATTTACAAAAACAGCTTACACAACCAATATATACATTTTGTTTTTACTACAAATCCCCCTTTTGCTTCGCACTTTTCAGGTGTGGTGGGTGTGTCTGGATTAGCTGCAGCCATATGAACAACAAAAGGCAACAAATAGCCCTCAGATTGCTTATTTTCAAAACAAAAGCACCCATTCACAGCTGGTATAGAATGTGAGCTAAAATCCTTGAGCTCAATCCATCCCTCTCTGGGTTCCAAAGGTAGAAATATCAAATGACCCTTCTCTGGGACTTCTAGTGTTAAAGAGCAACTCATAGATGCGTCGGCTGATAAAATAATCAAGAAATCAATTGAGGTTGTGCCATGATTGACTAACATATTAAGTTGTGGTTAAGTTCTTTTGTTGTATGTGCTGTTGTCTGAGTGTTCCTATCAGTGCTGCAGTCAAACAATAGAAATTTACATTTTTGCACAAAGTTTGAGCATCACATCAAAGCACAAACCCACATATCTAAAAATAGCATGCAAATGAGCCTGCAGCTCCACTTATCTGCACTGGAGAGTCTGTTATTGAACGCCACAGTCAAAAGTAGGTGAGGCACTTTTTTCATCGTTAATAAGGAACAGAATGTGCTATTTTTGTGTCAACCTAAATAAAAACATTTATTTACAAACCCTGCAAATTTAGAAAGCTTATTTGTTTTTCCCATTTAAAAAAATCTTGCATTTATATTGTTGATTCTCAGTAAATTACATGGAGGCTTTTCCGGGTATAATATTTCCAAAGACTTTATGAATTCTGTATAACCATACTATCTTCGGAATAGTAAAAATAATTCTGTAATATTTGTTAAAAACTCTTTTAATTACAAAAAATAACAGCTGGAGTCAAACTTCATGTCTGTTCTTCCCAGAGATAACTACATTTTTAAAACACATTTACACATTTGTTTGGTATTTCTGTCTCTTTGTTAAACTGCTTCACCTCTTATTTATCTGAAATGTCTTTTACTTTTTTTATGGATCAAGTTTACTCTGATATTGCACTGCTGTCTTGTGGAGTACCCCAAGGTTCAGTTTTGGGCCCAGCCCTCTTTTAATTGTATTTAAGCCCTTTAACAGATATTTTAAAACATTAGAGTAATGTGTCATGTCATCTGTATGCTGTACCATTCCTTTTGAGCCTCTGAGTTCTACAAATTGTCTGAACACGGTAACTGTCAAAAATCAAAATATGGCTGAACAACAACTTCATGCAGTTAAAAGCAAATAAGACTGAGAATCTTGTTGTCCCAGATGATGTAATCCCAGTAATCAGGCAGCACCTTGCTTTTTTAATTTCTTCGATGCCAAATAGTCTCAGAAATCTGGGTGATCTCTTTGATAGTTCCTTGTCTTTTGACACTCATTGTAAAACATTAGTTCGTAACTGTTTTTATCATCTAAGAGATATTTCAAAGCTGAGATAGTTTGAGTCACAGGAGGAACTAGAGATGACTGTTCATGGTTTAATTTCTTCTTGTTTAAATTATTCTAACAGCCTTTAATTTATCTTTTACATGGTGCCACGTTTGGGAACATGCATTTGTGGGAGGAGCAGCAGAGCTGAGTGTGCTAGAATAATTATATAACTCTGCCTGACCATTAAGTTCACACTGCCTTGACATTTCAATTTTGTATCTCTTTGATAACTGCTTTGTCACAATCTGTTCTTATGATTCTAAGATGCTACTGATGTCTAGAGAACTCGTTCCTATTTAATACTATGGTAACACTTGTAATTCTGTCATTGGCTGTTCGTACACTCCGCAGGGAAGTCTATAAACTATTTCCTGTTTACTGTTCTGCAGTTGCTACGTGACTGGACCTTTGATTCAGATCTGTTCACGTTGCTGCTCATTCTTTTGCAATTGCAAACCTTTATTAAACCATCTGACGACCATCCACGCAGCACACCTTCTTTTTATTCATGTGTTTCTGCCTTTAATAAATATTTCCACAGCACTGAGTATGTGGGCTGCTCACACAAACATTTTGCCAGATCTTCTCGGCCAATTTGTTTTACTGTTGCTTTGAGTCTTGTTTTGAGCTTCTGGTACCCAGAGTGATGCTAATCAGTTGATCAGTACAAGATTTATTACAAAGAACTTTGTTACAACAAAGAAATAATCTACCAAATACAAATTACCTTACTTTTTGTGCTAAATCGATAAAAATAGAAATACATACAGACATACAGAAAATATACTACATTACATATTTATTTCTCAATAAAATACATAAAATTTACTTACCTGCCCAGAGTTTTGCTCTTCCTGTCTGTAAAGTAACATTTTTTTCTAAACAAAAAGAAAAAAAGAAAAACAAATTAAACAATACAAACAAAGCATCCTGTTGCTGTAAGTCTTTAAACCTGAAGGTAAATTGTGTTTTTTAGATGACAGTTACCTGAAAGGCATGCGGATGTTCATCTGCTCTGCATATTTGCAAAGCGTATCCCACGGAGCATGGATCTTCACAAACATGATGTCGTTGTTCGTCATGGAGGGCTTTCAAATTTCATATAAACAAACAAGGTTGACAGTTGAGAGAAAAATATATGAAAAATTCAAAAGCCTTTTCACATCAAAGCAGTTTATTTTACCTCCTTCTCCAGCATGAGGCCCTCAGCTCGTAAATTCTTCTCGAACGTGCACCTCTTCTCCACCTGCGGGCTGGACTTCTTGTAAACCAGGATGTAATCAATTCTCTTTTTTCCATCTCGGAAAAACAGTCCAGATGAGCCGGATCGATTCTTCTCCTGTGGGAATTCCAAATTAATCTTTTTAATGTTTTTTTCTTTTTACTAAAACAGGTTGTTTTTTTTTGTTATTTATAGACTGCATTACACAGTACCTGCAGTGAATCTGTGCGAGTCCCTAATTTAACCCGGCCGACAGGTTTTTGCAGCACGAAGGGAGGGTCTGCTCTCGTTTGAAACGTGTTCACTTCAGTCTCCTCCACGTAGTTATCCTTGACATCTTCTGCTGCAAAGAGACAAAGCACAATCGGTGAGGCTGCTATTGAACCGGTGAGAAGTACCCTATTCACGTTAGATCCCTGTTGTTGCTCAAGTCAATAGTTTCCTTAATCTGTCTGCCAACACTGAAATTAGATCCCAGCTTAATAAAAAATGTTATTTTGGTGTGGGTGTCAGCTACGCAGCAACACCTTGATGTAATTTAAAAGATCAATGCGCAAAAGCTGACTGAGCGCAAACCCTATTTTGTGCCTTTTTGTATTTTAGAGGTGACACACTGGGGAAAATGTCACTTTATCTGAGCTTGAAGGCATTTATTTGGGAATCTGAAGTCAAAATACTCCAACTCTGGCAGTTTGTTTTTAGCCCCTGTGGATATTAAAATCTGTTGCTTATTATCTGGGGAGTATCAAACATCCAGAACTGAGTAGAAGATTCAGCCTCACATGCTTCCTTTTTTTCTCCAACATTTAGTCCAATTAGTCCAACAAAGACATGAGTTAATGGAGTTCTCCCAATATTTAAACTCTAGACACAGAAGTCAGACCCATAACTGGTGTTCTTTAATAGCGACACAAGCCGTAAATCTAAATTTTATTCATTTATTTATTAGATTTTATTTAATCAGGCAAATCCCATTGAGATCATGGATCTCTTTTGCATGGAAGGCCTGGGCTCAAATTCTGATTTTTTCATTTATTCTGTAATAAATAACACAGCAGCACAGGGCAGCTGTGGCTCAGTCTGATGAGAGAGTCGGAGGTTCAATTCCCCACTCAGTCACATGTCTCCGTGTCCCTGGGGAGGAAACAACCCCACATTGCCTCTAATGTGCCTCATCAGTGTATAAATGTGATCTAAAACAGTGATTAAACTCTGTGCTTTAGAGATGCAGAGTGAATGTATGTGTGGACAAATAAAAGAGGGCACAGACTGTCTTGTAAAGTGCTTTGAACATCCTGGTTGGATAAAAAGGCAGCAGTCATAACAAAAATCAGCAGGAAGATATTTAACATTAGGCTATTTAAGCAACAGTTTTCAATTCAGTCTTTAAAAACTTAAGAAACAGAAAAATAATCAAGCAGAGAAACTCAGAGAGTTGACATATGATGGAGGACTTACAACCTGATTGTTCTTTATTTTATTCACATAACTTTGTCCTCTCCTGTTGAGATGAACAAATATTCACGGAGAACTGCAGTGAGTGTGTTGTTCAGTATTTAGTTTTTTTCTTTTTGCTTTATGAATTCTAGTCTGAGGCAAAATCTACACTGCTGTGTTTATTTTTATCTTCATTTTTTCTTTTTTCTGCATCCACATTTGCTAAAGAAGAAGCAGAAAGAAAGAAAGAATAAAGAAAGAAAGAAAGAAAGAAAGAAAGAAAGAAAGAAAGAA